GAAAATATGTGAAAATGCTTCATGTCTGTCCATTGCCTTAGTTCAGGCTCTTAATGTTTCTTGTCTGGGCAATTGCAATGACCTTCCAATTGCAAAAACTAATCACATCTCCCTGCATGCATAAACTTCTTCAAATATACTTCATCCAAAAGGGTTAGACCCCAGAGTCTTTATTATGACAGGCAAATTCTTTGCTTCCCTGCCCCTGTCCATCTGTTCCACCTCACTTCCCACCAAGCTTCTATGCTCCTCTCATGTTCCAACCATCAGGCTCCAAGCGCAGCTCATTGGCTTGTGGCTGAGTGATTCCTTCTCTGTGTTCCACCTTGCAATTACCTATGGTGTTTTCTAGGTCCAGCTACAATATTTTCTTTTCTGTAAAACCTTCCTTAACTCATCCTGACCAAGATGAACCTCCTCTATCTGTGTACTGCATTATTGTTTATCTGCTTTTCTGTCTTCTTGAGCCTTCATTTAATCCAAAAACCATGTATAATCATGCACTGTGTCATGTTTCAGTCAATAACAGACTGCATGTACTACAGTGGTCCCATAAGATTATAATATATCTTCACTGTACCTTTTCTATGTTTAGATACACAAATGCCGCTGTGCTTCCATTGCCTATAGTATTCAGGACACTCACATGTACAGGTCTGTAGCCTAGGAGCAATAGGCTATAGCATATGGCCTAGGTGTATAGTAGACTATCCTGTCAAGGTTTGTATAAACACACTCTATGGTGTTTGTAGAATGAAAAAATTGCCTAAGGATGCATTTCTCAGAGTTATATTCCTGTTGTTAAGTGACACGTGACTGTATGCCATCTCTGCATTCCTGTGCCCACTCATATGGACATAGTCCATATGATAGCTATGCCCTGAGTAAACATTTGATACAAACATCACCCAGAGAAAACAGAAGAAATGGTAGAGTAAAATTTAGTCTTCACTGTCAACAAATAGTCACCAAACGTCTACTAAGTTAGATTCTAGGGATAGGGTGGTAAAAAAAAATCTTTCTTGGAATTTATAGTCTATTTGGGGAGCATTAAAAAAACAAATAACAAAATATAAACAAAATAATGACAACTGGTAGTAAATGTCCTGAATGAAACAAACAACGGGCTAAAAAGAGCTGAAACGCTGGGATTTCTACAGGAAATTTCAGCCTAGAAGGGACAAAATCAAGCCTGAATGCATCCAAAGAGAAAGTCGGTAGAATTACACCCTTTATAAGATTCCTTGCTGAGTGTTCCCATCTTTGCCTTATTCCTCTACTCTTAGGCTCACGGTTCTTGTAGAGTACATCCATTCTCCAGTACCTCATCTCCTTTTTGTAAACCTCTTTCCTCTCTTCAGAATCAAGTTCCCTCCGCGATTCCCCAAGTCTGAATTACGTAGTCTTATAGTAAGGCCTTTGGGGTTTCTGTAGGACACACCAGCATAGGAGCAAGCCACATACCGACCTCTTTAGAGCTCCGTATCAGTTTGGGTCATACTCATGCTTCTTAACTTTCCAGCGGCTTAACAGATGTCTGTTGGATGGTTCTCTCACCTCCTCCTTCTCTCTCTCTCTTTCACATGCGTAACACACACACACACACACACACACACACACACACACACGTTCATTTTCACATATGCCAATGGTAAATATTAATTCTTAGATTTTAAACCCAAATAAAGGAACATCCTCCTCAAATGCCTGTAATTTGCAAGTTTGTCTCTCTCTCTCTCCATGGAGCTAATTCTTACCATTTTTATGGGGCCTCTTCTGTGTCCCAGTATGTGTTTCATGCTGGGAACACAGAAACAAGGACCGAAAGTTCTATTTCACACATTGATTGCCTAGTAAGAGTCTTACCAACCTCAAAAATATCTTTTGCATCTCCAGCCTTTTTTCTCTGTTTCTACTCCCTTGAGTCTTCACTGCTTTCCTGGTAAAGTTTTCTCTGGCTGCCCTGAGCCTGTGGCTGTCTCAGTTTTTCTAGCACTTGTTACAACAGACCTTATGTTATTATTAACGTCTACTTTTCCACTAGACTATAAGGTCTTTAAGGGATGGGATCCAGGTTTGCTTCCCTGTACCTAATATAATGCTTCTCAGATAATAGGTGCTCAATAAAATTTTTTTGAGTAAACATCTCTTTTTTGTTTGTTTGTTTGTTTGTTTCGAGACAGAGTCTTGCTCTGTCACTAGGCTGAAGTGTAGTGGCACAATCTCACCTCTGGATTCAAGCAATTCTCCTGCCTCAGCTGAGACTACAGGCATGTGCCACCACGTCTGGCTAATTTTTGCATTTGTAGTAGAGACGGGATTTCACCATGCTGGCCAGAATGGTCTTGATCTCTTGGCCTCCCAAAGTGCTGAGATTACAGGTGTGAGCAACCACGCCCGGCCTAAACATCTCTTAAGCTCAGAAAAGACTCTGCAAGTGACATTAAGTAACTTTCCAAACTCCCATTAAATATTAGAGATAAGTATGAGCCACTTCTTTTGCTGTTGGGGAAATTGAAGTTCTAAGAAGAGAACTTGCATTTGTATAGTCTTTTCCCTTTCAAAGCTCTTTCGTGTGTAAAAGAAATTTTGTACAGTAAGGAATGATCTCTATGTAAATGACTGTCATTTATTATGCTATCCCTGAGGCAGAGTTGTGAAATAACTTGTACTGAATAACTCCACTTCACAGATGCAGAAACTGAGAGAAACAGAGCATTAGTGTTTGTTTGACCGAGGGCCTACCAACCACTCAAGGTTCAGCCACCTACCATTCAGTTCTTTATATGCAAGCACTATAAGAACTTGGCAAATTATCTTTCCATTGATGATGGTTTTCTCTAGGTTTCCTACCTCTGGCTAAAAGAGCACAAGGGGAGGAGTCAGCGTACCTGGGTTTGAGGCTTGACTCCACTACAATGAGGTCTGGACTAGTTCCAAGTCCCAAAGTCATGATGCTTGTTATGTCAGCTTCTTGGATCAAGTGAGCTAATACATGCCTGAATTCTATAGTCTGTTCGAGCTGTGTGTGTAGCACCATTTCCATTTCTTCCCTAGGCCTTACAGATCACATACGGTAAATACCGTATATTCTCCTGGCTTTGCAACACCAAATTTGAATGGTTAATTTACTGCAAGACATTGTATGGGTTCTAAATACATAATAAATTAATAAAAATATATAAATAAATAATGCTAAAATAAATACAGGAACAAAAAAATAAACCAAAGAGCAAATGTGATTCATCTATTCCAAATCTCGTTAACAGTAGAAAAAGAACTCCCAGCATTTTGGTAGCTTCTTTTAAAAAAAAAAAATTACTTCAAACGTAAAATAAATACAGCGGTCTAAACACACAGCTAAAGAAATCCATGATAACAACTCAAATTCATTTGCACCAAAAATAACAAACTCTTTTGGCTTTTAGTTATACAGATCTATGTCTGGTTACTCATTCCTTAAAATAGGATCTGGAAATCAAGTTGCTGACCTTTGAGTGGTGGCTGGAGTCCCTTTTCAGTTTCATTTCACTTCGTGTTATTATCCTCAATTATGGTTTAATAAATTGATAATACCAAATTAGTGCTTTCTTTGAGATTTGAAAAACCCCAGACACCACAGTGTTTAAGAAAAATTCCTGTAACCTACTGCATCATGTCTCATCCAGTCACGGATACAGAGTCCTGTCCTAACTCGGAAACTCTGCTCCACCACTATCTGCAGAGGAGAAGAAGTATTTAAGCTGAATACGTCCAAGTTGATGTGGATAAAAACCCAAGGAACTTTTCCTAAAGGTAAGGCACTCATCCTGCTCTGCTCTTTGCTAATATCATCGTGCAAAACCCAGTGAGTTTTCAAAGGTTAAGGACCAGCCACTGCTTCTTCGTGAGGCAGGAGACCTGCACTGCGGCCACATCACCAAATTCAATGCCGTGTCCCAAGGCAACGCCTGTCCTTTCAGGCTGAAAGCTTCATTTGTCTTCAGTTCTGCCGAGACCCCACATACAGAGCTGCTTTGACAGCCTCCCACTCTCTGAGGGGTCACCTGTCGCCTTGCCCAGGTCAAGGGAGGTCAGCTTCTCAACGGGAATTTTTTAAAAAAGGAGGCAGGCACGGGTCTGTCCATAAAAGGACCTCTTTGAGGTTGGTGGAAAAAAAAATGCAATGCATTTTGTGTTCCCAGTTAGACCCTCTGGAACGAGGCCGCCTGAGAACAGGCCTGTGAACAGTTCCTACTGGAGGACAGCCAACAGAGGCCACCCAGACGTTTTTCACAGGACCTCTAGCTGCCTCTGCTAACCCAGAGGCAGAGAAACTGGAGTCAGGGCGGCCACCTCCTGCCCCCATCTCTCCACCCCCACCCCTGGGCGGCTGCTGAGCAGCACAGGACTTTATTGAACCAGCTGCCTCCTGACAGGATAAAGCAATTTAGGGTCAAGGACAGGAAATCAGATTTACACAGACAAGCAGGATGAAAAACTGCCATTCACTGATGACCATATGGAGCCTTCACTCTTCTCTTCCTCCCTTCTCTTCCACTGAAAAGCAAGCCACACACTAGCTTTCCCACACAACAACCCTTTCACTCAATATACCTGCTGGAAGAGAGTTCAGCCACATTTTGACACAAGTAGCAGGCCCATATGTAGTTACTGTGAATGTTTCTTCAGTCCCTTTTCCTTCCTCCCTTCCCTCTGGCGGCCTCGGGCACATCCAGCGTGCACCCTGTACTGGGCTTCTGCAATGTGTAAAGGCAGGGGCAAGGACAGCCATGGGCAGTGCTCAGCCATGGGAAGGAGCCGTGTGAGGAGCCGCCTCCTCTTTTCTAGCAGAGAGAAAAGAGCTGCCTGTTCTCTGGCCTTCCTCCCCAGGAATCAAAGGGCCTCCCCACACAGGGCACCCACCTCTGAACAACCCGCCCGCCTGATAGCCCATCTGAACTAAGTATGCCTTCCCTCCTCTTCCTCCCCCACTCACTCCTCCATCCACTGTGACAAACCTGAATGTGCTCCTGAATTTTATGCTTCCTTCTTTGGGCTCATGCTTTGTATCTGTCTCCACAAGACAAAAATGTTAATTTGCTATTTTCCAAAGCCAGCTCAGATATCCCCTTCTGTGTGAAGCCTCCTGATACGTTCAGATATTCCCTCCTCCCGCAATCTGTATGTACAACTACTACTGATTGGTCGCTCTTTAGCTACCACTGGGGAAGTGTGAATTTTTAGGCTCATCTCCAAGCGCTGCAGTGTGGCCATTTCATCAGTGCTTCTAAACTGATGCCCCTTATGACTAAACCCAGGCATTTTTTTGGGATGGCTGGACAACACTAAACCTAACAATTGCATGGGTTGAAGATCATAATTTTGGCTTCATTTGAGCAGGACCCTAACAAGCCCTTTAGCTGGCCAGTCCCAGCTCTTCGTTACCAACAGGCAGTACAGTTTAAGATGAACTGACTCATTGTCATCTGGGAGTACAGATTTGGGACCCTGGCATCTAGAGACAAACTATCCAAGAAAATTCAGGAGGGAAACAAAAGAACTCCAGCATCGTCCCCTCACACAGCCTTTTGTGGCACCAAGCCTTTATTCAATTCGGTGTGTGTTCTTTTGGAATCTGTACACGTTCTTATTGTTGCTTCTTTAAGCCTGAAGCAATCTTGCCTCCCTCAGCTCTCTCATTCAACAGAGGCTGATGGCTGCCAGTTACTGTTTAGTTGCTGGTAGGATGCTATTTGAACGAACCACATCTGAGGATGCTTATGCTGGTAAAGTATCTTCTTAGTTGAGTAATGCAAGACAGCATATTTAGGGAGGTGGAAGGCACACAGTGGCAGTTCAGAAGGAAGACAAAGAGGAAACAGACCGCTGACTCTGATGGGAACCCGGGTGGTGTGTGGTGTCCCTCACATAGAGACAGAGATCCTAGCAAATTACCACAATGCCAAACAGAAGGCCATGACAGACATAATGGAACCATGTCTCTCCTTTGTCCAACGATTAAGAGAAAATTACAATATTTGCTTTTGCTGTTTTCAGCCAGGAGTATTAAAAGTATGTTTAGTTTCCCCCTTAAGATGCATTCTAAAAATTTCTCAGGTGAAGAGTATGGAGGATATATGCTACTGTGGAGCTGCAGCCACGATCTCAAGCTGTTCAGGTTTCTTTTTGGGAATTGTTTCCCATTATGCTCCTACTGGCTAATTCCTCCAACTTGTCTTAGGCCACTGGAAGTCTTTGAGTTGCTCAACAACTGTTTCTCCTTTTAAATTCCAGTCCCTTCTCAGCAAGCTTATCACCTGTAAAGCAGGGAGGGCTCCATGAAGCTCTTCAGAGCTTGCCGACTCTGCTTCTAGGGAATTGCTAAAGGAATGGATTATAGCTCTCCCAGATTGCTGCCCCTGGTCATTCACTTGATCATATGCAGTTCCATGACATCACCAAGTGAGTGTGTCACATGCCTGGTTTGTGCAAATTCCCTTACCAGTTGGTTGTCATTGTTTTGATGGAAAAAAAAAAAAAAAAAGAAAGGGTAAGGGCACACCTCAGCTTTTAGGTACTGCAAAGATCTCAAATATTTTACAAAAACACACCGAAGACACCAAGTACTTCTTAGACTATTGAATACATTGTGAGAAACTCCTGAGCTTGTTTCTTAAGCCCCTCTCTGCTCTTTTCCCTGAGATACCTCAGTTCTGAACTTGGGATCAGGCTGGAGATTAGGAAACTTCAAAGGCTACTTATACAAAACACATACAACGTGCTTAGGTTCTGCTGTAGAAGACAATACTCTTTCACACTTATAAGTAAAAGTCCCCCAAAAACTTTTAATGAATGCAGGGATACCAATCTCTTTTTTTTTTTTTTTTTGAGACACAGTTTCGCTCTTGTTACCCAGGCTGGAGTGCAATGGTGCGATCTCAGCTCACTGCAACCTCTGCCTCCTGGGTTCAGGCAATTCTCCTGCCTCAGCCTCCTGAGTAGCTGGTATTACAGGCACGCGCCATCATGCCCAGCTAATTTTTTGTATTTTTTTAATAGAGATGGGGTTTCACCATGTTGACCAGGATGGTCTCGATCCCTTGATCTCGTGATCCACCCGCCTCGGCCTTCCAAAGTGCTGGGATTACAGGCTTGAGCCACCACGCCCAGCCCCAATCTCTTATAATAATGAGAAATTATCTTTGGAAAACTTTAAGTTATGGCTTTGACAAGTAAAGCACACATATATTAGACCTAGTATAGTGTTCCCCTGGCAATCCACAGGAAGTACAGTCTGCATGAACAGACAAATGGATGCAGAGCTCCTCTCATATGATTAAGATGGAAATGTATAATATATTTCTCAAAACAAAGCTTTGTGTCAAAAAGAAAAAAAACAACTAAAAACTCTGGTCTTCTCGATTCCCAAAAGGCTCAAGATGACTTTGGCACATAGTAAAACCTAAAAGAAGGGAAATCAAATAAAATCTGCAGGATCATTACATGGTAGGAAGTCAATTTAAAACCAGGAATTTAAGAGCTGTGACCTCTGCCCATCCTAGATTCCTTCCTTTGTCTTCGAGACCCTGAGTCTTGTCCATGTGACAGTTTGTCTCTGAGGAGCCTTGGTAACACTAATACATTTATGTATCTAATTTATTCAAGAAATGTTTGCTTGGGCATTCACTATTTCAGTACACAGTGAGAGTATTGTTGGGTTTACAAAGAGTAATAATCATAGAGAAGATCCATCGAGTGACTACTCATCACTACAGTAAGTGTTTTATATGCATTTCTCACTTTATTCCTCACAGTCCCACACTACGAAGTAGGTATTATTGTTATTATCAGATTATTTCATCCTATAGGTGAGAAAACTGACACTTGGATTGGCCAACTTACCAAGCACATAACTCTATTAAGGGGTTCTCTGGAATACAAGTCCAGATAATCTGACTCCAAAGCTCATGTTTTAACTGCTACCTAACACTCAACAAGGACATAACCAGCCCTGAGGTACTTATACTTTAGTGGAGGAGGGAAAACACATAAGCTTGTAGAGACAGCACAAGGCGCTGTGCTGTAGAACAGGAGCCTGAAGTTTCCTGGAGCTGGACCACATAAGAATGAAATCACCCATGGCTGAGATAGCCATAGGTAGCTTGTGAGGGAGGCAGAATTTGAGCTATACCTTGAAGGGTAGGTAGGATTTTATAATTGTATCATTATCTCAATCTAAACCTGAACAAAACAAAACAATTTGTAATTGTCCTACTCTTGCTCATGCCCTAGTCATGGAGTCATTTTTTAGCTCAATACTACCTTTTACTAAGTTTTTGCCAAAACATTTGAAAAGACTACTGAATTTATCGCCCCTTCTATTCCTACAACTGCCAAATTAATTCAGAACCTCATGTCTTTATTCTTTTTGTGCTGCTATAACAGAATACCACAGACTAGGTAATTTATACAGAAAATAAATGTCCTCACAGTTCTGGAGGCTGGGAAGTCCAAGACGGAGGGGCTGGCATCTGGCGAGTGCCTTACTACAATGTTCTTAGTAAATTCGGAGCACTGTAGTAAGGGATATAGGAATTTCTCATCCCTGTCCACATGAAGGAATTAAATAAAGCATTTTATTAAAAGAAAAGTGGAAACATTTTCATTTCAGATATCTAATTTCTCAGTTTTTCAATCACATCTTATTTGACTTTTGGACAACTGACATGCTGGAGCCAAGAATCATTTCGGCATTCTGGTCCCATGAGTTTGGAGATGGAGGTTTGGGAATACGTTTTTAAAGAAATTTATTTTGTGTATAAATGCTGATCTAGCACATGATAAACATTTTCTATTATCAAGTAAATGCTATCACTTTTTATTAATGTTCTTTTGGTTGAGTTAACACAAAACATTTCTACATTGAAATTAGTATTCTATTAAGTCAGGAGGGTGAAAAAATAATTCCGGAAGAAGTAAAAATAAAGCAACATGACATTTGCTGTGAAGTTGTCACCAAGGAGTTTCCATAAAGAAATAACAGGTAACATGCACACATGGAAAAGTCAAATACGTGTTCTATAGCAGTGGTCTACAACCTTTACAGCACCCAGGACCAGTTTCGTGGAAGGCATTTTTCCATGGATGGGGGTAGGCGGGGGATGTTTTTCTGTTGATTGAAGTGCATTGCATTTATCATTAGATTCTCATAAGGCATGCACAACCTGGATCCCTCACATGCGCAGTTCACAACAGGGTTTGCACTCCTGTGAGAAACTAATGCTGTGGCTGATCTGCCAGGAGTGGAGCTCAGGCGATAATGCTTGCTCACCTCCTGCTATGTGGCTCAATTCCTAACAGTACGGCTCTGTGGCCCAGGGCTTGGGGACCCCTGTTTTATAGGGTTGTTCCTCTAAAAATGGCTTATGTAAGATTCTCCTGAAACTTAAAAAAGGCAGATCGAAATCATACTTGTTGAAAAAGAAATTCTGAATTAGGAAGTAGTAGTAGGGTAACTGAACAAGGTCTAATCAGCCATCTTTTTCATGAACACTAAGCACTGACTAGAGAGTTTAAGAATGAAAGATCCTGTGAGTCCTTGGGGTTTTTCTGGCTCTGAGTCCTCCGGGTTTTTCCGGCTCCTCCTACATCCTGCTAGGTCCTCCGTAAGATGTCCGTCCCTTTCCTTTTACCCTTACCATTGTTTCTCTCAGACCCTGGCCCTTCTCACCATCATACCCCTCAACATACAATATGTTCACAAATGCTAAGCTCACCCAGTTCTGCATTCACAGGGAATTGGAATTTGTTTTCTAGCACTCCCTGTTCTTGTTGTTTCATGCCCTTTTAGAGCCCCAGAAGTCACGGAATTCAGTCCAGACTCCATTCCCCCAAAACGCCAAAAACAGCAAAGGCTTCCAGTTCCCCGGGTCAGCTTCCCCACCTCCCTAGGAAACCACGGCAGGCTCTGACTCCCCACCCTGGAGACTTATAAGGAGGCACCCAATCCTTCACTCTCAATTCCTTGTTTTCCGAGGAACTCTCACTAGAAAGTGGTTAAAAGTTCCAGGCTTCCTA